AACTGAAAATTTTTGTTCTTCAATTAAAATTAGGGGAAAGTGAATGTTAGTCCTACCTCCTAAAAAAATATATTGGAATCCCAACCAAAACGACGTCGTTTCTCTCGAAAACCCTGCCCCCGCTATCCCCTTCTGCAATCATCTCCATCTCGTGGGAAAAGGTAAAGTCTCTCAAGGATCGAGCCTCGCCGGAAACCACCATGACTTCAGTTTGAAGACAAGGGACTTTAATCGGACCGCAAAGATAGAAATTTGTGAGGGTAAGTTAGCAGATCTCTTTGAAAGATTATGCAAATTACCCTCTTTTCTTACTGTTGGTTCCCTTTTCTTGTGTTAACTATTTGATCTGGATTCTGGATCATAGTCGGCACCAGTGAATCATGTTTGCAGGCGTAGTGTCTAGAGAATTTGGGATTAAATTTCTTTGAAATGTGGTTAATTTGTTACGGATGGGTATTTGGATTATGGGGTTTTGTAGGATTTTGATAGGATTCATGGAAGGGCAGCTCCCAAATACTAAGCAATGGGTAGTGTTTTACTCTGTTTACATAAATTCGAAGAAAACTGTAGCTGAAGGGAGGCGGATTAACTTGAGCAAAGCATGTGAGAATCCTACTTGTGTTGAGATTGGTGATTGCTGTAACCATCTCAAACTCCCACTATTATTGAGGTTTGTTTATGCATTTGTTTTGCACGTTTCTTTGATCTTGTCGTCCTTCGATTCCGGAGATGATGAATTGCAGCGGTAGAGTGGGGTGAAAATAGTGAGTGCTGAGAATTAAGTTGGCGGTATGGGATTGTGTTTGAAAAATTGAAGGAATCGGAGGAGTCGAGGAAGAGATGGAGATGATTGCAAAAGGGGAAGTGGGACAGTAGGGGTTGGGGTTTTGAGAGAAACGACGAACAGCAGGGGTTGGGTTTTCTCTCAAAAACCCATAGAAAAGCAGGAAAAATGATTCAGAAAAGCAATTATTGACCCATAGAAAACAGAAAATGCCAGCATGTGACTGTGTGGTGGAGAGATCAGTATGATCATAGATAAAAAGTTTTTTATTTTTAATTTTATTTCAATTCCATCATCCACTATTGTGTTAAAAAAAAATTATGAATGAGCATGAATAGTTATAATCAAGAAACCTCCAATCATTTAAAACAGTAAATAGTAACATTGGTGAAGCCTTGACCTGGTTAGCTTGCGTTTAAAATTTCGTACGTGATTCTGTATGGCTGTTTAAATTTATTTTTAAAGTTAAATGGTAATGATAAATTTATTTTTAAATAAAAAATAAAAAATATATTTTTTATAAAA